ATGATTGTTGTTAAATAGTAGGAAATAATTAGATGACTATTCATAAATATAGAAAATAGTTAAATGACTATTTTATTCGGTGTAAACTTTATTTTAAAGGGGTAAAAAAAGTGAATGATATTTCGTTAAGGGTCATCGTGCTTTTAATATAGTATAGACAGGGCCAAAAAGTGGCCAGTAAATGCTATTTTTACAAATTAAGAGTCAATTTCATCAGCCCAAGAACCAAAAACATGGCCGAAAGCCCAATCGTCATATGAATATATGCCTTTTCTTTCTCATATATTGAATCCCGATGAGATCTTGAAAGACCAAATAAGCAAACAGTATTAGTATTCAACTCTTTCACAGAGCTAAAAAATGGCGAAATCAACATTTGTGTTGTTGTTATTAGTAGTATCTGTGACTGTGTTGTTGTACTCATCAGCATTTACTGAAGCTGGAGATGGAGATGCCTCTGCCTTTGTCAAGAAAACAATTTCTTCTCATTCCATTGTTATCTTCTCCAAATCCTATTGCCCGTTAGTTTTCTCTCCCTTTAAAGCTCCTTTTTCCTGCCCTTTTTGGTGGGTTTTTTTCCCCGCTTATTTGATTATGTTTTCTGTGTGTTGTTGCATTTTTATGGTCTTTGATTGTTGTTTCTGATTGATCTTTCTCAGATTGATATGATAAATTGCAAATTGAAAGACCCTTTTAGGTTAGAGCTACTCTTCCAAAAGCGAGCATAAAGTTTGTGTCTTTGATGAATTTGTAACATCTTTTAGATTAAATGTAAGTTACATTGTACCAAAAAAAAAAACCTGAAAAATCGGCCCCGGGCTTTGATCTAGTGGTGAGAGCACTTGGATGTATATATGTAAAATGTGTTCTTCTGTTAAGGTGATTTAGCTCTTTTCTTGATTCACTTTAACATCAAACTTTTTTCTATTTAGCCTTTTTGACTTATCAATTGTAATAAAATATATGGGTCTTTTGATTATTCTGCTAGGATATAATTGAATCTTAAGCTGTGGAAATCAAAAGTAGAGAAACTAAATATGCTGTCTCCTTTGTACTAAAGTTGTTTGGACTTGCTAACTTTGGTGCGCGTCAATCGATAATTGAATAGTACATCACATCAAATTATAAACAGAATTTAGTTTAGCTTGCCCTTATATGATGTCTAATTGAAGAGCCGAAGGATCTATCGTTTTCCCTAAAGGGTCATGTGCAATCAAAGAGATGAAAGGAGGATATTCGATCATAGCTTGTTTAATTAGACAACAGGAAAAATACATAATGCTCTATTATCACAATCTATGGTTTTAATGGACTTTATCCTTACTTTTCCTTCTATTGGCAGATCAGTTACCTTTCAGAAATGTTTTAGCCCAATAAACCGCCAAATATAGAAATAAGACCTATCTTTAACGACTGGGTTTTCTTCTATTTTGTTTTCTTTTTTTCTTTTAACAATATTTTTCTCTGGGAAATATATTTTTACTTTCTAGGGGTATGTGCACACCAAAATCCAAAAATACCAACCTTTCAGAAGAAGTAAATATTATCCATATTCAGGGGCTTGAGCGACAAATAGGGTAGATTGTGTGAAGGAGAAATATATTGGTCATACATCACATGGTTATTAAAATTGAATTGGAGTGCGTGTGCTCAAGTATTTGAAGAAAAGGGTATGCTAAGAACATAGTATTTGAGTTTTGAATTGCTCTGGCTTTTATGGTTTCATTATTTTTTGTGGTTCTATTATTATTTATATTGCAAAGCCATGCACCTAGAGGGAGGGACAGAGATGAAGTTGGGTAGGGTTTGGTACGACCGCATTTAAACTATGTTGTGGGGTTTTTTTCTATTTCTTCAAAAAATAAGAAAATGTTAATACACACGTGGCATTGTGGCATTTTAGTAGCTGGGTCTAGGCCATATTGGATCTCCGCTAAAAAATAAGGGTAGATTTGAATACTTTGCTAGTGGTAAGGGTATATGTCCTGAAAGTATAACGGAGGCTAAATGTAGACAATATTTGAAAGTAGAGGGTTAAATCTGGTCCTTTCTCATTTTCCTGTATGAAACCTATTTTCTACATATTCAACTTCTTTAAAGTATGTACAATGTCACGACATGCAACACTATTTATTTCTGTTTATTGTATGTTATATTAACAGTTTGCATCAATTTTCTATTGCTCTGCAGATACTGTAGGAAAGCAAAGGCTGTATTTAAAGAGTTGAAGCAAAAACCTTATGTTGTTGAGCTTGATGAGAGAGGTATCACTTTCATTGCCCCCAATCTCACCGCCGAATTTCCTTTCTCAATCCTTACATGTTGTTTGACAGGATTATAGCTACCAACCTTCTAGTTTTATCAACTGTTTACAAGGATTTCAGTTGTTAATAAGAATTGTAAGATACATCAGCTTACATCTCATTCAGCTTGTCACCAACCAATCACATTTTTCTACTATTTCTTTACATGGGATAGAAACATTTTCAGTCAATTGGACTTGTCAGTTAAAAAAAAAAAAACACTTTCATACATCTCTTATCTCCATGTTATTGTACTCTTCTTTTTCTTTTGTTTGCTTTAAATTGGTGGAGCTTCCGCCGCCGTGCGCTAGCTTTTAACTCTGTACATCTTCACTCAAGAAACTACACTTCGCTTTGTATTTACACCTAGCAACCTGAGGCCTTGAAATTTTGGTATGATTTTATTGTCCGAGATTATTCACTTCCCTGTTTCTTATATCTTTCCAATTTGTCAAAGGCCCTTGTGGGTGTTAGCTGCAAAATTGAGATAGATCTTTCCCTTCGTTTGGACCAAGGGATAACATGAGTGGGAGTAACTATTTGAACTCGATGTAAAAGGTGAAACAGATGGTTTTAGGCCATCGGATCATGTCTTTGATCAAAATCTTTAAAAAATATTCTGCTTTTCCTCTTGTCAGATGATGGCTGGAGTATTCAGGATGCCCTTAGTGAGATCGTTGGCAGACGTACTGTGCCACAAGTTTTCATTAACGGAAAGCATATCGGAGGATCAGATGGTAAGCTACTGAAATCATATCTTTGCTTTGGTGCCTATGGATAATCATAATCCTGTGCTTATGACGTTAATATCTGTGCACAGATACCGTGGAGGCCTATGAAAACGGGGAGCTAGCTAAACTTCTTGGTCTTTCTGCAAAGAAAGATGATCTTTAAGCTGAATTTGGTACATAGTGGTTTCAAATTCAGTGACTGTAATATGAGATGCTCACCATAAGTTTTTGCAGCCTTTAGTCCCTTTTTGGTGCGTAGAGGTTGGAGAAACTGGTGGTTGTAATATGGTACTCTTTCTTATTCAAGTTTAGGTTCTCTCCTTTTTGTATTTCCTAAAATTGGGAAGCTTTGGAGGAGTTGTCGTTTGAGCAGTGGAATAAGCCACTCAGGTAGGCTGCCTATGTCGCACCCCCTTGGAGTGCGGCTCTTCCCGGATTCTGCGTGAATGCGGGATGCTTCGTGCATCTGTCCTTTTTTTCTTCAAAAATTGGGAAGCATGAGCCTAATTTTAATGAATTATTTCTTGTTAGAGGATTCTATTATAAAGGAGGATCTGCTTATCATAAAAAGCTTCAATAGATTTGCAGACAGTATTAGGAGAAAGGACTTGCATGTTATATTGTAGGTTAAAACTTGGTCGTGTAAAAAACTATCTAATGTCAGTGCAAAGAACATAAATTCCTTTTTAGAATTATGATTCTTTCAAATCATAATATATATGTTAATGAATTTGGATTTTGGACTCATAATATGTTATTAACAGATGAACAAGAGGTTCAAGATATAATTAATTCTAAGATGTGGAAAACTACAACAGAATGATGAATTAAAGATTTAAACCCAATTGTGCCGGTTAGTGTTATCAAATTAGATCCAAATTATGTAACAGTCCTTTATTTTTAATGTTACGAGACAGTCAAATCTAAATTCCAAGTACAATTAACAGGTTTTCAAAGCTAACTATGAAATGAATAATAAAAACAACCTCTGCAGTTGTATCATCGTTTTCTAAGCTCTTATACCGTTCTTGGAATTTCGAAAACCTGAGCCTATTTTGTGCTAGCAACTTGAAAAAATTCTTAGTTTTCTTCACAAATATAAAGGAAAGAAATTCTCGTTGACTAACGGTTTATATAGACAATATAAATTACTTAATTCAAGAGACATTTCTCAAGATTTGTCCACATGACCTTTTCCATTTTTTGGGAAAAAAGTTGGGGTAAAGGAAGATGTCCATTTATTGAATCAATGAATTAAGGAAGAGCAGCAACCATACTTGTACATGAGTTTGTAACAAACAAACAAACAAAAAAAAAAAAATCTCTAAAGAAATACAGCCATACGAGCTCCATATTATTTCTACCAGCAATATCCTAACAAACAGCAATAGAAAAATCAGACTCTGCTAAATACTGCAGCTAATATTTATCTCAATTATTTCCTCCTTTTGAGCAGATTTTTGAATTTCAGCAAGTATATAAAAATATCAAACTTGTTGGTCCGTTACTGGTATAGGACAAGTTAGCTTTATCACACTTCAATAAGTCGTGCATGCATGCACGTTGATGAATGATGAGAAATGTATATTTTTAAATACGTTTGCATATCATTTTTTATATGATTTTTGAAGTGAAATATACTCATTACATATTTTTTATGTGTATGAACAAACTTACACGAAAAAGGATCAAATCGGAGAACAATTAATGATCATGAGCTGGAAAAAAAAAGTTCCGGACAGCATAGCGAGCTTCAAAGAGGCCGGGACCGGAACACACGTCTTTCATTAAACAGCAAAGCCTATTGTTTTGGTAAGGTATCGTAATGAAAATTGTACATTGTTAGCCGAAAATCACGACTGAAGAAAAACCAAGTCAATGTTCTTCTCATTGAATTCAATTTCTTGCCTATATATGCCTGCCTATTTGCATATAGTTTTCTTCACCCATCAATATTTCGTACTAATATTCATTACGCTTCATATTTTTACAAATATAGCCACCATGGCCAAGTTTGTCTTCCTTTCTCTTTGCATTTTCGCAATTTTCATCTCTTCTTCTTCACGAGGAACGGCCATTTCCTCATGCAACGGCCCGTGTAAATCCTTGAACAATTGTGACGGCCAATTAATTTGCATAAGTGGAAAATGTAACGATGACCCTGACGTTGGAACCAATACTTGCAAAGGCGGCGGAAGCTCTCCTACAACCTCAACGCCTGCCCAACTTACCCTCAACGATTTCAGTAAAGGCGGAGATGGTGGCGGTCCATCAGAATGTGATGGTCAATATCACGATAATAGTGAAAGAGTAGTGGCGTTGTCCACTAGATGGTATGCCAAAGGTTCAAAATGTGGAAAAATGATACTTATTAGGGCAAATAATGGGAAGAGTGTAACGGCTAAAGTGGTTGATGAATGTGACTCCATTAATGATGGTTGTGCAAATAATGTAGTTGATGGTTCTATTGCTGTGTGGAGAGCTTTGGGTTTAGATACTGATAAGGGAAGAGTTCCGATTACTTGGTCCATGGCCTAGGATATTATTATTAGGTGGTTTGTTTGGTGTGTGTCTGGTTTTTAATTGTAGAATTTGAATAAGGCTGTCATCTTATATATAATAAGATGGACAAGAGTAACTGAATAATTTGAATAAAATGTTCCTAATTAATTATGTTTACATTAATCCAAGTATTAATACTTTTGGAGATTAAACAAAGCAATATCCTATTGTACTTGTATTGTTGACATCGAAAGAGCTAGTGACCTGCATTTGCTACTAATTCTTCTATCCTTAATTTCTTGCATGAACAAGCAATATTATTTGAGTTTAGGCAGGCGTTTGGACATAAAAATTGTAATTTAAAAAAAGTAGTATTTGGAGTTAAGATGAAAAATGATATTTGAAATTTGAAATTGTGTTTGGACATGCATTTCACTTAAAAAAATTGCACTTTTGTGAGTGGTGATTTTTTTTTTTTTTTAAAAAAAAACTTGCAAAATTTTATGGACAAACACATTGTTGAAGAATAAAATTCGAAAAAAAGAAATTCTTTTTTATGGACAAACGGGTCCTAAGTTTACATTTTCACTTAAAAAAACTTTTTATACTCTCGGATGATCTAAATGATATATACAGGTAAGGCTTTTTAAAATATAAAATTTATAATCTTGAAAATAAGATAGATATTTGTCAATCCGGATCATCACTTAGTTGATTAGAGGTACTTCAAACTGTATGAATTCAAATTTGGCAACCACGACCATTACCGAGTAGAATGAGGAACGAGGTTATCATGATGTACCGTCTGATGGACGTCGTGGTGAAAGGTAACGACTGAGGGCGGTCAGTAGATGCATAACGTCCACGACAGTGTAAATTTAGTGGGAGACAGTAACAATATGCTTTTCGAATATTCTCTATATTGTACTTTTTAGGGTTTTTTGGGAGATTGTCCCTTATAAATAAGGAGGGTAAGTAAAGAAGAAGGGAGACGGGAGAAAAAAGACAAAAGAATACTTTGTAAAAGAATCATCTGAGATTGAATGCAAAAGCAGTCTTGTTCTTCAGAGAAAATCCTAAGATTCCCTAATCATCTCAAACTTATTCCCCATTATACCGATTGTATCTGTGAAGGTTCTATTGCGCATTTAAATCTTCACACTTATGAGTATTTATTTGATTTGAACTTACTTGTTATATCATTCATCTTGCTTACTCCTTCTATCATTTGATCTAGATTTTATTGTGCTTGACTAAGATTGACCTCATCATTATCATTAGTTGTTTTAATCAAAAAGGTTTTGACATCTTTTGGTCAAGCAATTTGGCGCCGTCTATGGGGACATCTTTAGTTTAGATTTTAGTTTCATCTAGATCATAGAAAACAACAGTCACCTCTTCTTAGCTTTGCACAAACTAACAATGGCAGGAAAAGGAGAGGCAAGGCTAAAAGCATTAGTAGGTGTCACAACCAACATCCTGAACACCATTAACGAAGACAGTAGAGAAGATAACAAAGACGGGACACCAAACATCACACCCAAGGGAGATTCTTCACCTCCCCCGCACGAAAGCGTAACCACTTCGTGCAAGAAGGAAACCCTTCACATCTACAACAGGAGAGGCACCACCGGTAGTAAGAAGACTACTAGAAGAGTGGCTAACAAGTACTCTGAACGACAAACTTGATAAGCTCGCCCAAAGGGATAACAGAGACATTGCACATGTAGATGTCATGGCGACCACTGATGAGCGAGATGTCCTCCGCACAGGTAACACTCACATTGCTATTGACGCAGGTAATGATACGCTAGCAGCCGTTTTAAAGAAAATGGAGGAGATAGAAAATGAGAATAAGGCACTCCGTGACCAGATGAAGGAGCACCAAGAAAGGGTCGATAAAATACCAGGCACCCCAAAATTGTTACCAAAACGGTACATTGGTCGTTTCATCGAGAAACCATATAATGAGGAGCGGACCCCTACGTCATTCCAAAGACCTTCAAAATGCCACCATACTTGAAGATATATGATGGTACTACCGATCTAGAAGATCATATCATCCACTACGTCACAGCCGTAAAAGGTAACGATCTTTCGAAAGAACAGATACCATCGGTGTTATTGAAAAAGTTTGGCAAAACTCTAACAAAGGGATCCCTGACCTGGTACTCACAACTACCGACTCGATTGACAGCAACGTTCGAAGAAATGGCGGACAAGTTCGTCACCGCTAATGCAGAAGCCAAAAAGGCGGAAGCCAGAGTAAACAACATATTTGTCGTCAGGTAGATGCACGGCGAGGGACTCAGGGACTTCTTAGCTCGATTTAACAGGGTGAGAATGAGCTTTCCAAATGTGTCAGAGGGAATGGCGGTAGTAGCCTTCCAAAATGGGTTAAACAGGAATGGGTCGAGAGCGACCAGAAAATTGTTAAGTAGGCTCATGAAATACCCCCTCCCCCCCAACCACTTAGGAAGAAATCCATAATGCCTACTACGCCAAAGTAACAACCGATGAGGACCTCAACGGTCCGTAGAACAATTGACATCAGTTCAAACTGAAGCAAGGAAAGATTGTCGCAACGATGGTCGAAGAGATCAGTTGGGGCCCCGTCTCGGCCTAAAAAGGCATCAGCCCTACATCAGGAAATCTATCCCACCTCCTCCGCGGCACTCGAATGCTTCTCCTTGACATGCAACACCACACCGACATGAGAAAGGTATGCCTCCGCTCTAATCTGCTCACAATTTTTGTGTCTCTCCTTCAGAAATAGTGTACGCACTAGAGAAACTTGGTACGAAGGTACAATGGCCACAAAAGATGAAGTTTGACCCAAGCACTCGGAAGTCGAACGCTCTCTGCGAATTCCACCAGGAAAGGGGTCATAAAACTGAAGATTACATAGGACTGTGGCATGAGGTAGTAAGAATACTGAATCAGGGACACCTGAAAGAACTGCTAAGCGATCGAGGACGGGCCAGCTTTGCCCGCGGACGCGAACAACCCCATACCATCTCCCACTCGCAACATATAGATGATCATCGGCGGAGGCGATGACACAAAAATCAACCATGTAAAGTTCACCACTACTCATAAACTCAAATGGTCGATTACTCATGAACGGTATGATGACCTCAAAGATAGTATCGGCTTTGATAAATTAGATACCGACGATTTGTCTTTCCCTCACTACGATGCTCTTGTTATCACTTTATGTATTGCAGATACTGATGTAAAAAGAATAATGGTAGATGACGGAAGAGGCACGTGTATTATCCATCCTCGAGTGCTCGTACAGATGAGACTCGAAGATAAAATAATACCACGTTGCATAACACTAACGAGTTTTAATAATGCAATCGAGCAAACTTCTAGAAAGATAGTGCTACCCGTCCTAGCCGGAGGGATCACCCTGGAAACAACGTTTCACGTCATGGACCAAGATACAACCTACAATGCTATCATAGGGCGCCCATGGATACATGCTATACGAGCAGTCCCTTCAAGTCTCTATCAAGTAATCAAGTTCCATACTCCATGGGGGTATTCAGCATCCAGGGCGAACAACGCACTGCATAGGAATGCTATCGCATCGCCCAGTATTACGCACACACCCAACAACTACAAAGAGAAAGTGCGGAGGAATAGCAATCAGCGATGTCAGGAACCAAACTTGATGTACGGACAGACGTTATCAAGGACCTCGACATCGTCGAAGCATCCGAGTCAACAATAGAGGATCTCGATCCCGTCCTACTATATGACAATGACAGCACAAAAAGGTTTATATCAGGCACAATCTCTCGGAACTAGGTAAGTTTCATAAATTCTTAAGTGACAATGCCGACCTGTTTGCCTTCTCCCATGCAGATATGCCACGCATCCTGAGAGATATCGCCATGCACAAACTGAATGTTGACCCCCCTTTACCCGCCAGTGCGGCAAATGAGGCAGAAGTTTAATGCCGTAATCAACGAAGCCGTCAGTGAAGAAGTCGATAAGCTGCTCGCAAATGGCTCCGTCCGAGAATCAAAATATCCCTAGTGGGTCGCCAATGTGGTCATGGTAAAGAAGAAAAACGGAAAGTGGCGGATATGTGTGGATCACGGACTTAAACAAGGAATGCCCAAAAGACTCATTTCCATTGCCACACATCAACCACTCATTGACGCAACAGCAGGACACGAGTTACTAAGCTTCTTAGATGCTTACTCGGGTTACAACTACATCCTCATGGAGGAAGAAGACCAGAAGAAAACAACTTTCATCACTAACTAGGGAACATACTGCTACAGGGTCATGCCGTTCGGACTAAAAAATGTAGGAGCGACGTACCGGAGATTGGTCATCAAGATGTTCAAAGATCAACGCGGCAAAAAAATGAAAGTCTACATCGACGCCATATTGGTTAAGTCGAAAAGGAAAGAAAACTACATCGATCATCTGAAGGAAGCCTTCGATATACTAAGGCAATACGGCATGAAACTAAACCCCAAAAAATGCACCTTCGGCATAACCTTGAGCAAATTCCTTGGTTTCCTGGTGTCGCAAAGGGTCATCGAGGTCAATCTAGATCAGATTAAGGCCATCGAGGGAATATCAGAAATATTAACCAGCAAAAAATAAGTGCAAAAATTGACAGGTCGGATAGCCGTACTATCAAGGTTCATCTCATGGTCGTCAGACAGGTGCCATAAATTTTTTAGTGTGCTAAAGAAAGACAACGGGCTCCAGTGGAATTCGGAGTGTATCGATGCCCTGAGAAAACTGAAAACCTACTTGTCCTCGCCACCGTTACTCGCCAAGGCAGATCCAGGCGAATGCCTCCTTGTCTACCTGGTCGTCTCTGAAGTCACGGTAAGCGCAGTTTTGGTCCGCGAAAATAAAGGTACGCAATCTCCGATTTATTATATCAACAAAACCTTAGTTGACGCTGGAACGAGGTATCCCACCTCGAAAAGCTAGATCTGGTATTGGTCGTAGCTTCACGTAAGCTCAAACTATATTTTTAGTGTCACCCCATAAAGGTGGTGACAACTTTTCCCCTCAGGAGCATCCTGCACAAACCCGAGCTGTCGGGTAGATTCGCCAAATGGGCCACAGAATTAAGTAAGCACGATATCACATATCAATCGTGAACTGCGATAAAATTGCAAGTACTCACCTACTTCGTC